TTTGGGGGCTCATCTCTCAAATGTATGTCTTAAAAGTTGGAATGCCCAACGTGGGGGTTCAAACCCTTTGATCCTAAAGGAGAAGCTCTGGGTTTTGAGTCCCACTCATTGTGAGTCACTGCACCTGGGGTGGGGGTTATGGTGAATTGTCTCCAAGTCTCTCCTAGATGAAGTAGAAGACAGAATCAGTGAACTCGAAGACAAGGCAGTGGTTACCCATTAAAGCAGCAAAAAGAAAAAAGAATAATAATAAAAAAAGTGAAGATAGCTCAAGGGACTTATAGGACAACCAGAGGCCTGGTGCACGAAATTAGTGTACGGGTAGGGTCCCTGTGCCTCGCCAGCAATCAGGGCCAATCAGGGCCTTCTGGCTGCTGGCCGGAGCCTTCCTTCCCTGGCTGCCGGCTGGGGCCTTCCTTCATTCTGTGCCACCCCGTGGTGGTCAGCACACATTATAGCGAGTGATCAAACTCCCGGTTTCCCGGTCGAACTCCCGAGGGACGCTTTGCATTATATATAAAGGAGAAGATAAAGAGAAAAGGGCAGAAGTATTATTTGAGGAAACAATGACTGAAAGCTTCCCTAACTTGGGGAAGGAAACACATCCAGTCCCAGGAATACCAGAGAGTTCCAGATAAGAGGAACCCAAAGAGACCTACACTAAAACACATTATAACTAAAATGTCAAAATGTAAAGCTAAGGAGAGAATATTAAAAGCAGCAATAGAAAATAACTTATTATGTACAAGGGAACCCCTATCAGACTATAAGTAGATCTTTCAGCAGAAACTTCACAGGCCAGAAGAGATGGTATGATATATTCAAAGTGCTAAAAGAATAAAACTTCCAACTAAGAAGTGAAGGGGAGATAAAGAATTTCCCAGAATGGCAAAAGCTAAAGTTGTTTATCACCACTAAATCCGCCTTACAAGAAATGTTAAAGTAACATATATATACTGTTGTTAAAGGAACTTCTTTAAGCTAAAAAAAAGGCACTTGTTAGTGCAAGAACGTATATGAAAGGATAAATCTCACTGGAAAGTAGTGAATGAATCACTTATAAAACTAGTATGAAGGTTAAAAGACAAAAGTAGTAAAATCAACTAGGATTACAATACTTATTTAAGGGATACACAGGATAAAAAGATGTAAAATGTGACATCAAAAATGAAATGTGTGAGGGATAGTAATAATATTGAGATTTAAAATGGCATCAAATGTAAGTTGTTATCAAATCAAAATAGACTGTTATGGATATAAGTTGTTAAATGTAAGCCTCATGATAACTACAAAGCGAAACCTATGGTAAATACACAAAAAGCAAAGAGAAAGGAATAAAAGCATACCACTAAAGAAAGATATTAAACTTGTGCTCAGAATAAAATTTTAAACTATTTTATCTTTCAAGAGTTGAATTTTTGCCCAGCTGATGTGGCTCAAAGGTTGAGTGTCAACCTATGAACCAGAAGGTCATGGTTGGATTTCCAGTCAGGGCACATGCCCAGGTTACAGGTTTGAGCCCCAGTTGGGGCATGCAGGAGGCAGTTGATCAATGATTCTCTCTCATCATTGATGTTTCTATTTCTCTCTTCCTTGCCTTTCCTCTCTGAAATCAATAAAAACATATTTGAAGAACGAAAGTATTATGCTAAGTGAAATAAGTCAGATAGAAAAATACAAATACCATATGATCTCTCCTATATGTGGAATCTATAAATAAATAAACAAACAAATGAATAATTAAATAAATCCAAGCTCATAGACACAGAGAACATATTGGTGGTTGCCAGAGGTGGGGGTCGGGGGAAGAAATGGGGTAAATAGATTTTTTTTCATTAAAATAAATGGGAAAAACTAAACTAAGAAAAAAAAAAGATTGGCAGGATATTCCTAGTGAAAAGGGGAGTTCTGAGGTCAACCGTGACTAGGAAATGTGTGGTTGATAAAGCTAATACAGGTTTCTTTAGAGAAGGACTCCTTAGAGCAGTGGTTTCAACCTCGGCCCATTAGAATCACCTGGGAATCTTTTTAAAATCCCTGATTTTTGGCCTCATCCTCCGGAATTTCTGTTTCTTTGTTATGGGGTGGGGCCACACATTAGCAACAAAGAAACAGAATTTCTGAAGGATGAGGCCCAGAAATCAGGATTTAAAAAGAGTCCCAGGTGATTCTAATGTGCAGCCAAGGTTGAGAACCACTGCCTTAGAGCCTTTAAGGCCAATATGCTTTGCAAATCTCCGACAGGGGAACAAATTATTCAGCATTTCTCAAATTCACTTGACCCCAAAACTCATGTTTTACAAAGTTCCTCTTTTTATTTATAGAAGTTACAGAAACACTGTGGATGAAAGATACAGTGGGTGATGCAGATGAAGTATACAATATAGTTCCTGTCTTTCCTTTAAGGCAGACATAGTCTTCCTGGGGAAACAAAGCTTTTAAAACAAATGTGCATAAAACAATGATTGACCTGTTCCATAGACAGCAGGATTTCAGGTAAAATAAGCAGGGAAGGGAAGATCAGTGTGGGTTGAGACACCTGGAGCTGAGATGATAGGAAAGGTATAATTTAAACTGGGGCTTGAAAAAATAGGGCAAAGGAAAGGGGTGGGGGGATGATGGTAAACAAAACAGACAGAAGAATGAGTGAGTGAGGAAATGGGTGACAGGTTTGCATAAGTCTGATTTTTCATTTGTTCAGATAGACCAACCAAGGGGGGGTTTACTGGACAACCTATACACAACTGATTTTATTTTTTTATTTTTTAAAGATATTTTATTGATTTTTTACAGAGAGGAAGGGAGAGGGATAGAGAGTTAGAAACATCGATGAGAGAGAAACATCCATCAGCTGCCTCCTGCACACTCCCTACTGGGGATGTGCCCGCAACCAAGGTACATGCCCTTGACCGGAATCGAACCTGGGACCTTTCAGTCCTCAGGCTGACGCTCTATCCACTGAGCCAAACCGGCTAGGGCCACAACTGATTTTATAAACTACTTTTTAAAATATGTTTTTATTGATTTTTTGGAAAGAGGGAGAGGGAGAAAGAGATTAAAAACATCAGCGAGAGAGAAACATTGATCAGCTGCCTCCTGCATGGGCCCTACTGGGGATCCAGCCTGCAACCCTGGCATGTGCCCTGACTAGGATTCAAAACAGTGACCTCATGGTGCATGGGAAGATGCTCAATACACTGAGCCACACCGGCTGGGCTAAACTACTTTTTAAAAAATATATATATATATTTTTATTGATTTCAGAGAGGAAGGGAGAGGGAGGAAGAGATAGAAACATGAATGATGAGAGAGAATCATTGATCGGCTGCCTCCTGCACACCCCCTATTCGCCACTCCCCCACTGGAGATTGAGCCTGTAACCTGGGTATGTGCCCTTGACGGGAATCGAACCTGGGACCCTTCAGTCCGCAGGCTGACGCTCTATCCACTGAGCCAAACCAGCTAGGGCTAAACTACTTTAAAATGTCATATTTTTAAGCTCAAATGATTACTAGCAATTCATTCTGGACTAGTTTTTCTTAGGAGAAAATGATATCAATAGCAAACATATCAACTGCACATCAAGAGAGGTGCCTCAGGCGGCCTGGAAGTACTCTGTTCTCCCACACTCTACAGCTCCTTATCCAGAACTCCCAACCCCCAAAGCTCTAAGTTCTCTCCCCCAAGTGATTTTGTGGTAAAACCTTTCCTGAACTGATAAGAGGCTATTTATAGTCTTTATCTAGCCCGCTTAGTGTGAATATCCATTCATTTGGGGATGCTATCCCAGACTACATTGGAGTATTCTATAAATTGTAGTATACGTATCATGTCACCTTTTTAAACTCTTAAAATTCTAAATTCTGACAAGGGTCTCTAAAAAGGGACTGTGGACCTCTAATTCTTATTTGTACCCTAGATTTATGCTGTCTGTGAAAATAAGTGTTTGCTATGTAGCACAGCCTATGGGTGACTCCGATTTAAAAGGGGAAAGAATAGATTCTCAGTAAATATTTGCCTATTTTCTCCATTCTCTATTCAATAAATATTTATTAATGGCCTCCAATGTATGGGTTCTGTTTCTCGTTTCTAGGGATACAGCAGGGAGGGAAACAGGTAAAGCCTCTGCTTCCTGCAATTATTTTTGGTAGGAGTGACAACAAAGATAAGCTAGTGTCTGGAGTTGATCAATTTATGGAGAAAAAAATCAAGGAGTAAAGGGTTCTGGGGCATGTTATTTTTCAAAGGATGGTCTGGGGCCCAGCTGGTGTGGCTCAGTTGGTTGAGCAATGTCCTGATGCACCAAGAGGTTGCTGGTTGGATTCCTGGTCAGGGTACATGCCCAGGTTGTAGGCTTAATCCCCAGTAGGGGGTGTGCAGAAGGCAGCAGATCAATGATTCTCTCTCATTGATGTTTCTCTCTCCCTCTCCCTTCTTCTCTCTCTAAACTAAATAAAAACATATTTAAAAACAAAACGAGCCCTAACCGATTTGGCTCAGTGGATAGAGCGTCGGCCTGTGGACTGAAGGGTCCCGGGTTCGATTCCGGTCAAGGGCATGTACCTTGGTTGCGGGCACATCCCCAGTGGGGGATGTGCAGGAGGCAGCTGATCAATGTCTCTCTCTCATTGATGTTTCTAACTCTCTATCCCTCTCCCTTCCTCTCTGTAAAAAATCAATAAAATATATTTTTAAAAAAACCCAAAACAAAACAAAGGATGGTCTGGGAAGAAGTCTCTGAGAAGGTGACACTTGAGCAAGGACGTGAAGGAGTAAGAGAGTGAGTCTGGGGATTTCAGGAGGAAGTGTCCCAGGCAGAAGGGACAGCGGAGGCAATGGCTCTGAGGTGGGGCCGTGCGTGAGGGAGGGAGGAAAATTAAGTGCTTTATAGGGAGTATCTCATCTAATCCCCCAAACCCTTACGAAGTCCACTTGGCAGATGAGGAAACTGAGCTCTGCGAGGGGAGCCTTCTGCACAAGGCCACAGCTGTGAGTGGCACCGCTGGGATTCGCTCTGGAGCGAGGTGTTGCGGCTAGCTTCCCCTCGAAGTCCCTGACAAGCCAGCCCTTTGGAAGGCACAGAGACCGAAGCCTTCCCAACCCTGGAGGCCCTGCCTCGCTCTCCCTCCTCAAAGGCCCAGACATCTGGTTTCCCGGTGACCTCGGCTCTCCTGGCTGCTGAGGGCCGCACAGGCCTTTGGAGCAGGTCAGGGCAGGGCAGGCTCTCCAATAAGGTGGCTCGAGGAGCCAGGACAGGGCACCTCCCCTACTTACCTTTCCGATGGCGGACCTCTGCTAACCCCTCAGAGCCCCGGGAGCCTGCACTTTCAGGTCCCATCAGCAGGGCGAACACTGAGGCACACAGCGCAAGAGCACTTACCTGAGGCCACGCTGGCGGCCACCGAGTCTTCCCAGGAGCCCATGACCTTCAGACCAAACTTCTCTTTGGACTTGGCCTGGGCGCCCAAAACGAGGAGCATCTCTTTAACTCTTGTGCTCTGGGCACCTCACTTAATTCACCTTAATCGAGACCCTGTAAAGGGGAAAAAAACCGTGAAAGTCACCCCTACTCACCACCTGTTCACTCACACCCACCGCGCTGGGCTCCCGGGGACCAAGAGAGCACCTCGCTGGGGCCGTGCACCCCACTGTCCCACTGAGAAAGAAGAGCAGGGGAAAGGTGGTTGGTGGTGGGGCGGGTGGGGGTGTCTCAATGGCTTTCTTCCAGCCTTCAGGTGGCGCCCTCGAGCCGCGGAGCCGCACGAGTCAGTGAAGACCGTCGGGACCTAAGGACCAGGTCCTACCTGGGGGCTCTGTGCCGGGCCGAGAGGGGAGGGCTGGGGCGGGGAGGCGGCGTCTGAGATTGGCGCAGTCGGGGCGCCCCAGCCGTGGAGACTGGCAAGCGGCGGGGAGGGGTCTCCTTCAGCAGCCCCCCC